GCGCTAAGTATAGATGGGGATCTTAAGTCTGTCGAATACAGACACAAAAATATTGCCAAATGAAAGAGACACAATTCGAATAGAATTTGGTTTCATATGAAAAACATATCATTTTGGACATGTAGTTCAAACACTTGAAAGTATAAAATCAATGGTGTGTGCAATCACTTTTATCTATCTTATATGTCTGGCATGACATGAAAACTTGATATACATCTAAAGTCTATTTATATGGCTTATATGACTTAACTTATATGACAATCTCTGAACGCATATCGCTTAAAGCAAATACAATTCTTGATCCTGAAGTATTATATCCTAAGTGCAATTTATGCACATATATATCTTGTTATAACTATAAGCATGATAATGTGATAGCGAGAATTTTTTCCTCTATGGAGATATTGAAAAGTCCATTCCATAGGATTTTATGAAGACATTACATATCTATCAATAATGACGATTTCAAGGTGCAACATATTCATTCAAGTTAATATGGTTGATTTGTTATCAAATCTCTACCAACGATCTTTTAAAGATAGTATACAAGAGTGGAATGCGAAGGTTTAAAGATGTGAATTCATAATACGCGTTGTACTCTTTTTCCCTTAAAATGTTTTGTCTCACTCGGTTTTCCTTGCAAGGTTTTTAACGAGACAACCAAAAAGCGTATTTCTAAATATGTGTACTTTTTTTCCTTCTCTAAAATTTTTTTCCACTAAATTTTATTTTAGTTAAGGTTTTAACGAAGCACATTATTTGTTGAATAGACATTCAATGGGGAGTGTTATAAAATATAAATAGAATTGTATTTAATGTGAATGTCTATATTTTAGAGAGGTCTTAGAGTTTGTTACTTGGTGGCTAAGCCACTTTTTTCCTAAAAATAGAGAGGTTCTATTCCATTGTAATTGATCCCAATTTAATAATAACTCTCTCTCTCTCTCCCTACTTTGCAATACTCTTCTTTTTCTTTGATTGTTTTATAACAGTTTGAGTTAATTAATTGTTTAAGCAACTGTTGGGTTTCGTATATGTAAATTAGAATGAAATAGATTTGAACAAAGTAAAAATGTAAGCATATCCATATGACCAATGCTAAAGTACTTTTGGGGATTGCTTCGGATCATATTAACTATTAAGCTATACTAATAGTCAGTGAAAGTAGAAAGTCAGAGTTATATACTTTTGTGTACTAAATTCTCACAACTAAAAATTGCATGATTTGCTTTTTTAGTTTATATGATTTTTTATCGCTTTTAAGACAATAAGACATTATATAGTTACGTATAAATCTTTCATACTCGGGCAATGTAAGATCTAAAGGAGGGAAAAGGAAGTCAAGATCTTTATGTTATGCATATGCTGATAAGGACGTTAATCTCATTGTGCTGGATAATTCTCACAGCGAACAAAATATAAATGTGGTTGTTATGTTCGCATACAAAACCATGTTGTAATTGTGTATGATTTGCTTGCAGTTTTTATTGTAGTAGTTGTGTTGTATTTTCTTCATGTTATTCGTATATATTTAATTCCCTGCAATGTCAGTTATTTTGTTTAGAGTCTGGATGGGTTTCTAAGATAAATATGTAAAGAGAAATAAATATCATTTAGAAAATAATTTTAGTAGATATTTCCTATCAATTTGTTAACTGTGGAGATATTGACATGTCGGAGGGCGCATAAAGATCAACAAATAGATAAATGAGAGATAAATGGGTAGGCTATAATCCACTTATCACCCATTGGAGTTTGCTCTACTTGTGTCTATCTCTATCACACTAATTATCTTGCAACTGTCCTTAATAAGTTTGAAAATGCAAATGGTTTTCTAAATAACGAACTACTTAATTATCTATTTAATTAATTTACATTCATATTTAGCCTAAGATTAATTACTTAAGTCCAAAAGGTAAACCGTTTTGATACGAACTTTCAAAAATGCCTAACATCCTCCATTTAGAATTAATTGACCCTTACTTAGAATCTCATATGTTAACTAAACCTTAATTGGAGTTAACTTTATACAATATTTTATTTGATTTAGGTGTATTAATAAGCTTACGGTCGCCAAACATATTTGTAAGCACCTATTTTTTTACTATATTTGAATTTTTATCACCTTCTACTATGTAAATATTTTTAGAAATTTAATATATATATTTTTAGCTTTGTTACAATTTTTTTATATAGGGTAAAAATTAATAATAATTTAAAAGTTCAATTATTAATATTAGTATTATTTTTATTTTTATTTTTATCTTTATTTTTAAATAAAATGAATTATAAAAAAAGAAAATAAATAAAAAATTATTATTATTTTTTTATTTTTTAAAAAAATTGCGGATGGGAATTAAAAAAATAGTAAAAGTAGAAATATAAAATTAAAAAGTAAAAGTAAAAGTAGGTAGAAATTGTTTAATAAACAAAAAAATGGAAAATTAAAAAAAATAAAGTAAAAGAATGTGAAAATTTTAAAAAATAAAAAGTAAAATAAAGTTGGAATTAAATTATAAAAGTAAGGGTATCTGATTTTTTTTTTAATAAAAGTAAAAGTAAGTAGAAATTTAAAAAAAGAAAAGTAAAATAAGTGGAAAATAAAAATATAAAAAAAAAAGTATAAAAGTGGGAATTTAAATATAATAAAATTTTAAAAAGTAAGAAATTAAAAAATAAAAGTAAAGAAAAGTGGACAATTATTTTTCATTTTTTTAAAAAAAAATGAGAAGTGTGAATTCTTTTTAATTAAAAAATTAAAAAAAAAAATCTGAAAAAATTTCGAAATGTTTTCTATAAATAGAAGAGAAATGTGAGGAGAAAAGGGAGAGAATAAAAAAAAATAGAGGAGAGAAAAAAAATAGGGAGGAAGGAATTGAGAGAAATTTATTTTCTTCTTCTAGGATAAGGAAATTTCTACTCGTGTCATTCTTTCTTCGTCTTTCTTTCGAAAAATCCAGCAAAATCAACCCCCTAAAAAATAGCTTTAAACCCAGCAAAAACAAGCCACTAAATCACCGATTTTGCAAGGTCGATCGGGGTTGCAAGTCGCGATTTTTTGTTCGAGATTTCGTGGCCGGTGAAAGCTCCAGTCAACACTCGTCGAATTGTTTAGCGCTCTTGTAATTTCAACTCTGTTAATTTATATCAAAGGTCCGTTATTTTCCTTTCTCCACTGATTATAATTGTCCATTTACCTTCTTGTCTATTGGTGTGATTATTGGGTAGCATGAAGTAGTAGTTCACTCTATTGATATTTGGATCATTTGAATCTGATTGTTTCCTTGTTCATATGTTTATTGGACCATGATGTTAATTTTAGAGTTGCAAAGTTTTATTTTGAGTTGATTTAACCGGATAAAGGGTCTATTGAATCACTGTAATTTAGCTTGTTTACTAATTTTGTTCATGAGATTATGGTGTCATTAGTTTTGTTTAAGAAATATACAGAATATGGGATAATGTGATGGATAATTTGCTTGGGCCACGATTTGTTTCCAAGGAAATTGGTTTTTGGGTTGTTGGAGAAGAAAAGATTTTGGGCCAAAAGATTTAGTCTCATCATGCCCAAAGTAATAAATAACATAGATGGCCCATCTTTCTCTAAACTAGCTCACTTTTCTATAAATAATAAATTCAATTCTTCCACAAATAATTACATACCTCATGACCTTACAATAATCTCAAAATTAGTAATTGAATAGCATTCGAACATCGTAGCTTGTTTTAGGCGCGATTAATAATAAATCATCGTGATTGTGGGTACGGTTCTCGTGGCATGGTCACGATACGTAATCCCCAATTCGAGTGTGCGTTTCATGTGACTCGACCACAACTTCAAACAATAATAAATAAAATTAAACACGTTGTATATTGCGGGTGTGTTTCACGTGACGCGATTTGCGATGTGTATAAACAACGAGTGTACGACAACGTAACTCGTCTCATATTAATTCCATAAAAGTTTAAAATGCAGTAATATAATAAAATCGGCAAAAGGAATAAAAATGCACATATAGGTTTAAAACATATATTAAATCAGATAAGTAGGCCAATTATTAATAGTTGAGCGACCGTGCTAAAATCACGGAACTCGGGAGTGCCTCACACCTTCTCTCGGGTTAACAGAATTCCTTACCCGGTCTTCTGTGTTCGCAGACCATAAATAAGAGTCAATTTTCCTCGATTTGGGATTCTAAAATAAATCGGTGACTTGGGACACCATAAATTATTCCAAGTGGCGACTCTGAATAAATAAATAATCCAATTTTGAACAATGTCACATAAATTGAAAAAACTCTCTATCCTCTATCCCCTCGGGAAAAAGGAGGTGTGACAATATTAAAAGATCTTTAAATTTATTTTATAAAAAACATAAAATAATGAGATAAAAAAATACAGAACTTTGATCTAGTGGTAAGAGCTTAACGTGTGATATATAGGTTTTTGTACATCACAATTTCAAACTTTGCCATAGTCAAAAGCATAATATTTAAGTGGAGAAAAGTATAGGGACGAGCTTATTAACCTCCGAGTTTTAAACCTTGTGCCACTTGCCCTGAGAATTTCTCAGTTAGAAAAATGAGACACAAAAATCTTGTTTTCTTATATATGAATCAAACAAGGCAAAACGAAATAGCTAATTCAGAGATATCGAGTCAAAATTAGAAAATAAAATCGTCAAAAACGAGGGTACATAGACAAGGAAAAATTAAAATTGAAGAGGAAGATAAATTTATCATTTAAAATTTTTTATTAATAATAATTACATAAATTATATGTTATATATTGTAATATACTTAAAAAATTTGGGGGGGAAGGCAATGGCTTAAATTGCCCTACCCTTCAGCCGCCCCACGAGTACGTTTAAATATTTAATCAAATATTATGAAATTGTAGATATTTATTAATGTGAAATATCTTGTAATAAGTATTTTAAAATAATATCATAAAATATTAGTTAGATACATGTTACACAGTAAGTAAATTATATGCGTGTAGATATTTAATAAGTCAATTAGTAAACTGATACAGAAGCAGTGCGAGATAGTAATAAACAAAGAAACACAGGAAAGTAAGTAATATCCAAAAAAGCAAATCCACATAAAACAGTTAAAGACATGAAGCAAAACGTCAATTCCTGTAAAAATTCCTATTGCTGTTTTTACTCCTATTCTCTAGGGAAAACAAAAAGTGGAGACAATCCGCTCAACTGGAAATCACGACAAAATCATTTCTTCTTCAGCTCTTTGACAAAGGGCTCCAGCAACGAGAGAAAGTCTTTCCTGCCATAATTATAGATGTTAGCACTTAATAGTAAGAGATGATAGCCAAGTACTTTTGCCAGTCTTACCTGCCCTTAAGGTTAGATCCGATATTGAACCAATGACGGATCGTACCTTTGGCGAGGACATTTTCACTATAGAGACACCTTACAATTATAGGAAATACACCCTCGCGTTCATCATCAAAACACCGGTCTTGTACTTTGTACATGAGTTTCCTTTTAAGCTTTTTTGTAGTGCATACCATAATCAGCACATCCTTCCATGTTTTCACCTGCAAAGTGAGAAAAAGGAAAGAAGCGGAAAAAAAGGAAAAAGAAAAAGTTATAAGCAATTGAACTCAAAAACTACAAAAGCGTAGAAGTAACTAACATAACAAAAGTGTAGAAGTAACTAAACTTGAACTCAAAAAGTGAGGGAAATCAATACTTGGCAATGGGCAAAAGCCACACATTCTCGTGGATCCGCAGGCCACTGAACAGCATGAATGATATCATCCCATAAAAATGCGACAACCTTCTCATCTTTCCAGTTAGAATCTTTGAAATGTTGCTTCAAAGTTCTTATCAATTCAGAAGCATTTTCTTTTGCTGTTAAAGCAGCTTTAATCTCCTCTACCTTCTCCCTAATTATGTTTGTCCAATCGTACTGCAAAGGCTCGGTCTCACTGAAATGGTCATAGTTTAGTTTGCTGACCGGATCAAATTGAAGTATCTTAATTCTTAATTGTATTTCATGAGTTCAAGTTTGATAAGTAATGCAATAAGCAAAATAAGATAGCCATCAGTAAGTAATGCACCTAATCTGGATAACTGAACAGATAGAGAGCTTAAGGGTTCAAGTTAATGGAAAATGAAACTGGAGATTAATTAGATCTCGACAGATTTTTCTGCGTGAAAGCCACTTAGTGAACGCCATTTTCGGTCAATATCCAAATGAAGATGTCAAAATGCTTTATATGTAAATCATCAGCTTTAAATAGTATGTAGCAGTATCATTTAATAGAATTTAGAAATACTGCACGTGTTCAAGAAAAGAGATTCTCAAAGAAGAAGAATACCAGAAAGATGAAACAATCAGTAGTAAGAAAACACAGAATCTTGCGAGGAAATTTTAAATGCAAAAGATAAAAGTATTTGAAACCGTCACAGCAGTGAGATAGACTTATCAGGATAGGAAACAAGGTAGATTGCAGACCTTCGTGATAGTAAAGTTGTTCAGAAAATTCTAGTTACCTATTTTTCTCTTGAAGCTAAATATATGTTACTTAGAAAATGCTAAGGATCTGTTAAGGTTCACTTTGTTTTTGTCGAATGGTTTACTAGAAGAGGAGCAGATAAGGCTCATAAGACAAAAGTGATCTGTAAAAGGAGCCGCACAACTCAAGTTACAGAGTAATTAAGGAGGAAAAGGCAAGGAAGCTAAAACAAAAATGAACAATCTACAATGAATGAATTGAAAAAAGAAGAAATGTTAATTTCATTGATGAATTGAAAAAAGGAGATGATGAAGGTCTTTCAAATGATAACTGTCTTAACTTCCCTAACGGGGAAATTAAATTAGGTTGGCCTAGAAATGAGGTTTTATTTGTCAGAAAAATTACGCAAAGTAAATTCTGAAAAATTTCACACTGAAACTGTAAAGTCATGAGCGTTCTTGTGAATCATAAGGAGCTGCTGCAGAAAGATGCACCTCACAACAACAAGATCAAATATGTCGTTTGTTGTGACTTGTGAGATTGTTGTCAAGGTATACACATTGTACAAGAGAGATGCATATGAATGCTGCGTGTAGGGAAATGATAGATGTCAAAGGGACTTGAGTTATCGTGTAAGGTTCAAGGAGGGTCAAAATTTGAAGCGTCGTGGTTATAATAGACATTGATTGGACCGTGGCCTGGTATGACATGAAAAGTACATCAGAGAGTCTTGTGCTGAGGATGTTTTCCTAGGTTTTCCAGGAAACGAGAGAGACTGTTGCAAAGTCAACTGTGGAGTCAGAGCTCATTGTTTCCACACAATCAGTAAAACAAGCCTAATGGCTACACAAACTCATGCTTAATCTGCACATTGTGCAAAACAAAAGAAATGAGGTGTTTATGGACAACCAAAAAAGGGAATACAAATGAGATAAAAAAGGCCATCATTTGGGCAAACAACTATCTTCACCACACCACAATCTTCTTGAAACAATTGATGTATAGTGTGCACTAATCGTGGCTTCAAAGCCAATAAAGATCCAAATATGTAGAAACTGGAAGGAAAATTAAACCCCAACCAAGCAATACATCATATTCTATAATTAATAAAAGGAAGTTGTTTAATTCTCTAAACAAAGCAATATATCATCAGACGAACATCAGTTTGAGGTATGATTTGTAGGTAATCTTTGCTATAATTCAGACAGAATCAGAGGGCGAGGCTTCGCGCCTTAGTTCGCCGTCGAAAATGGTGAAATTGGGGCGGGGAGCAGATGATGACAATAAAATAAAAAATACCAATCTTTTCAAGTTATTGGTACTCACTTGGAATGTTCAGAGAGAGTCGGCTTTGCAAGAGCTTCCATGTTTATCGGTGTTGCAACATGCCTATGACGGGTCTGATATTTCTCCAATTCCCGGAAACGACCATTATCAAGTTCGTACAATATGCCAGAGGTCAAATCCCCAAAACCCTTGATATCTCTTTTCATTGCCTCGGCATGAGCTAGTTTTACGGACTTCCCCAGAACAAATTTAACTTTTTTTGTGGGCACAAACTCGTGGATCCAGATTATTGCATCTGTGTCCAATTGAGATAAAAAATATTGTCTGCCAGACAGACTACCCACGAACACCTTGATAATTTCTTCTTGATTTTTAAGTTTCCTCACCGATGCATTGTAGACTGACTCTAACTCGGGGAGCATCTCCGCTTTCTCCGCGCATTCATTTCTCTTTTTGGAAATTTGCTCCCCCAAATAGAGTTCAGAATTTTCCAACTCAGACACTTCCTTCTCAAGTGAGAGGAGACTGTGTTTCACTTTGTACAATTGGACCTCTTTATTCAGTGATTCGTCTCTTAACTTTTTATATTCCTTCACTCCCAATCTAATGTTATCCCAGGCAGACGACATCCTGCACATGAGAAACAGAGCAAAAGATTTATCTCAACCAAGTAAACAAATAAATCAATAGAACATTCACAGTAGTTAATGTAGTACGCATATTCCAAATATCTAATTCATGTTTTCCAATTTCATATGAGTATCTCAAATTTTGGGATAAAATTCAAACTCAAAGAAAGAAATCAATACGGCAGGAGTACAAAAATTCATCTCAACCAAGTAAATGAATAAATCAACACAACATTCACAAGAGTTAATTAAACTGGGTGAAAAAGAAGGAAGAGTAAGCAAAGCAGAAATGGACCTTAAGTGCAATACTCCTTTCTAATCTGGAAAGCAGCCGTTGACCCAGAACTTTGAACAAAAACTAGAGCAATAGGAACCGGAGCGACGAACGGGATACTCGTCACTGAAAGAGAAAACCTCAACACGAACAAAAGTAACCGCTGAACTACTCAATCGTTTCCCCTGTTGTGGTTGGCTTATGAACGATTGCAGTGAAAATGGGTTATTAATCCTGAGTCGAGTTGATGCTCACTACATGTTTGCTTCTACTCTTGTCTGTTTTATGGAAGAAAGTGGTTCACGTATGGTGGTTTTCTAGCGGTGTTTCTGCTTTGGGTCATTGGTTTTAGATGGAATTTTGCCCTGAAGCTGGTAAACGAGACTGGCTACTGGTGGAGTTTACATGACTGTTTGAAGGTGGTTTTCAGCTGGTTTTATGGAGGTGGATTTTGGAGCTCTGTTTATGGGCCATTTTGGGGTTGATTTTCACATGGTGTAAATAATGGAGATGTGCTGATGGTTTTATGGAATTTGGAAATTTTTTCGTGAAGAAGATGTTGTGTGTAGTACTGTGTGATTATGAAATGTGAAGTAGGGAGCAAGAAAAGTATAATAGAGAATATTTTTCTTCTCTGCAGAGATCTGCGTAGTGTAACGAATTTTGTTGGGTCCGCAAACAAAAAGAAAAGGAAGAAAATGAAAAAGAAACAAAAAAACATTGCCAAACAGAGCATGAACAAGTTTTGGGAGATAAACTTGAAACTTCTCTGTATTGACGAAAATGAATACCAGCTGAAATTCAAAGAGGAATAACCAAGGGCGTTTGGATAAATGTCAATTAGTTTTCTCTTATGTGGGTCAAAATACCACACGCTAGCCGGGTAATTAAAAAATAGTCCGCGTTTGTAAAATGAAACTGTATTATCCTTAGTAATCAAGTTTTAACTTAATTACATAAGCATATATAATTTATTAATTATATATAAATTAATATCCATTTATATTATGAATTGAATAGGAATCGATTGTTTCCCCATCCCTGCGCAATCTCTCTCTCTTTCTCTCTCCATCTCTCTCTTTCTCTCCTTATGTTTTTTACCTAATTTTTCTCTACTTTTTTATACTTTCTTTTTTCTAGAAAATTCATCAATGAATTTTAATTATTTAAATATAAAATTTTAACTTAGTAATTTTCTTTCGTGTTTCACAATTGGTATTCGAATTGAAATTATCAATCAATAAATTTTGAAGGTATTTGACTCTCCACCATTGACAACCATTAAAAAGTTTCGAATCTTTGAATTTGAATTTGAATTTTTAAAAACTATTATTTGTTTGGATCGGGTATTGTTGCAAACAATTGAGAATATTCTTTGAAGTTTATATCTCAATTTTAAGATTAGACTTGAGTATGGATGAATTTCATATTGAAACTCGAAGAAGGAGAAGAAGAAAAACACATGACATACAATAGTTACGAAATTGTATTAACGTTGTATGTAGATTGTATTTAAATTGTATTCTATTTTAGTTATATATTTTTTTAATTGGATGTTGTATGAAAATTGAAAAATAGTTGTATAATGTATGAATCGTTGTATGAAATTTATATTAAGTTATAAATACGTATCTTTTTACATAAAGTTGTTGATATGTATCAAAATTGTATTAAGAGATGAAGTTTTGATTGAAATTTCACAAAGGAAGAAGAACACACCACATACAAAATATATACAAATCATATACAAAATACATACAAAAGACATATTGTATAAAATTTATATGAAAATTATATTTAAGTTGTATGATGTTGTAGATGTATTTAACTAGGTAAAAATGATATATGAAAGTTGTAGATAAGTTGTAAATAAATTGTATACTATATAATTCGTTGTATGAAATTTATTTTTAGTACGTATGTTGTTGTAGATATATCAAATTTATACGACATTTATTTTTTAATTTGTATGTTGTTGTATGATACATTATTCTTTTTTATTCGATTTGTTAAAGAAAGAAAAGTAAAGAATGAATTTCAAATTGACTCGGGTGCACTGATTCATGACGTACATGTTTCAGCCCTCAAAGTTAGTTGACTATAGACTTCAAATCTGATCGAACTGAAAACTGTTCGTGGAAAGTAAAGTCTGCAACAAAATAAAAGCGACTTCACCTCTTAATGTATGCAGTTTGCTTAATTTCTATTTATTCCCCTACTAATTTTGCTTGATTTACTTATAAATTTCTATGCTTGGGATGATGGATACTGTCTTGAACCTTGGACTCAATGATGAAGTCGTTACTTGTTTGGCTGCCAAAAGTGGAGAGAGATTCGCTTATGCTTTGTACAGACGACTTCTTGAAAATATTTGGAGATGTGGTAAATATTCTCATCAATGTCTTTACCTGTTCTAATTCCTCAAATTCTTGTATCCATTTCTTTCTTTTTACAATTTTTCCTACATTTCTTGAAAGGGAAACAAAATGTTGGTCAAAATCTATTAGTAGATATTATCTCATATGGTTCTCGCGGTCCTCTGTTTGATTGAATCTGGAAAGGAAAATATTTGTTGAAAGAGTGGAGAGAAAATAGGAAAAGGATATAACTAAATTCCCTAATTTAAGACACTAATAATGGATTGTATATAATTTATAAGTAATTCTTGTTTAGGGCGGATAATATATAAAATTAGAACAATTTTGGCAAAAAAGTTTCAAATATTGTATATGAAAGAAAAAATTCCTTGAAAAATAATCACCATTTTGCTGCAATACGGAAAGTTCTAGCATAATATACTTGGAGATTGGAGTATCTGTATATGGATTTTCAGCATATTATGTTGGAACTCTAGCACATTATGGAATTCCATCATAATATACTGGAGATTTGGAGCACCTGTGTATGGATTTCCAGCATATTATATTGGAACTCCAGCACATTATAGAATTCCAGCATGTTATGCTAGAAGTTCACATGTAAAAAATTCGAAATATTTTCGGATTTTGAACATTATTTTTGTTCAAATTTATCTTTTACATGAAAAGTGATTAAATTTCGATTACTTTTAAAATTGTGGCTATTTTTCAATTACCACTTGTAAATCTGGTTATTTTTTAATTTTTTCCCTTATGTGAAGATTGAAATGTCATCCATTTACCGGTGCTGTTATTTTCTCCTTTGGACACTAAACCTTTTCTCTCTCTTCGGAATTAATCACATAATAATTACTCCCTCCGGTCACTTTTACTTGGTATATATACTAAAAATAGATGTTCACTTTTACTTGATATTTTACGCATATCAAGAGAAGACATTAATTTTTTTTCTGTTTTACCCACAGTATTTATTATCATTTCAAATCATTTTCTCAAATCCAATAAAATATGCATCAATTAATATGGGTAACATGGTAAANTGCCTTCCGTTTGCATTTGGGTACAAAATTACTTTTGCCCCTCCCCCACTAACATACTCCACATCAAGGATAATTTTGTACCCAAATACAAATGGAGGGCATAATTGTTCTATTTTCAATAGCTCAGGAACATATCTGACCATTTTTCGTATAAAATAAATGGAGGGCATAATTGCTCTATTTTCAATAGTTCATGGGCATATTTGACCATTTTCCGTATAAAATAATACTTTTTTGCTGAGTTGAAAAGGTCCAAATATGCCCCTAAACTATTAAAAATAGAGCAATTACGCCCTCCGTTTGTATTTGGGTACAAAAGGAGGGCACAATTTTGTACCCAAATACCCACATAAGAGAAATGTAAAAGTGAAATTTGTGATAGTAACTTATGGATGTATTGATATGTGGTTGCAAATTAAAATAGGAAGACGAAACGAAAAACATTTCACCATTAATTACTTGGTACTCTAATAATAAGATTTTGCATTAAGAATTGATATTACAATGTAAAGGGTCATTTTATTACGGATACATCAATGATGAACAATGGCATTGTATCCTTTGAGCAGATCCGGATTCGAGTCCCTCTAATGGGGTATTGTTTGGTTATCTTACATGCTAGGACTTAGGAGTTCAAAGAATATAAAAATCAATTCACATGAATTTGATCCAGTAAAAAAATAATAAGTAAAAAAAGTGAAGCAGGAGGTTGTGATCAGCTGGCCGGAGGGATTTTCCGGTGAGATTTCTCATCATCATAGAAATTACTATGTAAAAGATATGGCAAGACATTCCTTTCCCGCTTTTTTTTTTTTTTAGAAAGAAGACTTTTTCTCCGACGTGGATTTTCAACTCAGCAAAAAAGTATTATTTTATACGAAAATAGGTTAAATATGCCCCTGAACTATTGAATATAGAGCAATTATGCCCTCCATTTGTATTTGGGTACAAAAATTTCCTTGTGTGGAGTCTCTTAGTGGGGAGAGGCAAAAGTGAACCACTTTATTAACGGCAAGGGCAGTTTTGCACCCAAATACAAACGGAGGGCATAATTGCTCTGTTTTTAATAGTTCATGGGCATATTTAAACTTTTTCCGTATAATAAACGGACAGTGCGAATTAAAAATGGGTTTTCTCTCATGTACAAGAGTAGATTATTTTTTCTCCTACGCAGAAGATTTATCATAGGATCATAGGCCGGACAAGAAAGTTCCGTTAACTTTTTGATAATTTTTCATCAGTCTAGCCATTTCTTTGCATGAGTTCATCTTTGTCTATCATTGTTTATGTAAAAATTATCAGCCAAGAAGAGATCTGACAACACGAATGAAAATACCATCAAGAAAATTAAAAGACTATTTCTGATATCTTCTCTTCTTGTTTCAAAAATCATGAGGAATAAAAGAACGAGGAGGAGATCATTGTTTTCTGGTCTTTCTCATCAATACCACTTCTTTTGCCTCTGAGGTAATTGGCTTTTTATACTTACATGTAATTTCATCATAAACTAGTAAAGTACGAAAGAAAATGTTAATGTTACAACAAATGGAAGTGTCTTAGTATACAAAAAAACTACCAATTTGGAGCTGGACAACAATGAAAATTTACATTGGCCTCAACAAATCAAGCCATAGTATACAAAAGCAGTCAGACTCTTCCTCAACATGGCCAAAAAAATCAGAATATCGAAATTCGCGATAGCATTCTTACGCTGCAGCAATACTGAAGCAACATTAAGCTCATTGGAGAGAACAGGGAGAGTACAGTCACAAGTTCAAAGAGAAGGATAACAAAAGTTATTTTACATGAGCGCCATGGCTTATGAATTGCCTAGCGCTTGCTTTGGCTTTGGTTACCTGTTGGCATTGGCTGCCTGTTTAAAGTAATCATCATTAGCAAATGTAAATTCATAATCGATCTACAAGAAACTATACTGCAAATAATTCTAAGTTGTTTGTTAAGATACCGATACAGCTCTGATGAACAATCTATGCCTCCAACAGTCTTTGCCATGTTTATAATCTTATATTCCCCTCCTCAAGCACCCCCCCCATATTTACTCGTCACTTTAGCATTTAGCAGTCTTTAAGAAAATATTACTAGTAATTGAGTAGTTTCCCTTATTTATTCTTTGATATCTCAGTCTTTTTACTTCATTCTAGAGCATCTAAATTAATCAACTATTTCTTGATTGTCTAAAACGACAAATCCTTTGGAACTATGTTTAGCAAAAGTGACAAGTTAATACTGGAGGGAGTAGCAATACCTTTTTAAGATATTTCTTGTGAAGTTTCATTGCACCGGTGCAAGCCTTTTTGGCATCCAGGTTTCCAGTGAT